CCCCTCTCAATGCCTCGCCACTAGTGCAGTGTTCAAAATTACTGCATCAAAATTGATTCATTCTCTCCGTCTCGGAAAAATAAATTCCCCATTAATTTTCGTCGAGACACTTGTCTTCTCGTCGTTCTGATCGGATTTACAAGTCAATTCCGTTATCCATCATACTTTCGTATTCGTCATCCCTCTTACTATTCTATGCATTATTCATGCCTTTTAGGGTTACTGATACAATTTAAAACACATAATTTTTCCTTAACCGACACTTTCTCAGTCGCTTTGACCTTAAAAAAAGCCTCGTAATAACTCACCCGCTACTCCCTCCTTAAGCGGCTCAACTTTTAAACTCCCTCTGTCTCAAATCAGTCATGATTTAGTAGATGAAAACTGGTCGGTAGAACTGCTATCTTGCAAGCGGACTGAAATTCAGTGGCTTAAACTTACCATGATTCGGAAACGCGCGTGGACAGGTTTCCGAGCATAACGAATGTTGTCTCGCGCTGTTGCCCCTATTGTCGCAGCTTTCGTTGATTTTTTGGCTTTTCTTTGAGTGCGGTTTCGCCTTCAACTTTCATGTGAGAGTAAATGTAAAACTAAAATATCATGACTATAAATAAATTCCGTAACCTTAAGTTGACGGATTTCCCTATGCAATGCCTTCATAATTTATTCTTTACGGAAAAAAAGAGGTAGGGGTTGTTGGACGATATGGTCATTTCCAAATAATTGTGGGAGCACCCTGGTAAATTAGGTTACTAATCCAAATTTTGCAGCATTGCCGCAATTAATTTGAAATGCCTATATCATCCAACAAGTTGGGTTAGTACTACAATTTTAGGAGAGAGCCCCATACATTTTCCCCCTGTGTTGGGCCTTGAACGATAGTTAACAATTTATTCGCTCATGAGAAGTTCCTAGATGGAAACCTTTGGCAACCCAACTATAGAATCATTTTGAAGCACGTGAGAAAAACATCGTCCCAAATTCAGAGGGTCAAAAAAAAAACTTACATTCCCTTTGTCTCAACGAATATGACAAGTTCTAAAAAATTAGGAGATTCCACTCGACCGTTAATTGATAGGAAAGTTTTTTCTTTTTGATTAGCTTGCGTGTTGAAACTGTCAAATGGCTCCAACACCATCTATACATTCCATCAACAGAGCTTGAACTTCAAACTAAAGTCTAACCTCAATCATTTTTATAGTAGGTATTTATCTTCGAACTATTCGCGAACGTCGAATAGCGAGCGCCTTATGAGGTTTGAGTTTTTATTCCTCAGCTGGGTGGAAAACACAGAATCTTATGAATTTTTTAAAAAATTCTGTAATGTACTTACTGTTGGTACGCCATAACGCCTAGATAGTGAAATCCCGGTTTAGAAATTTTGGAGAAAAACCATCACGAGTCAGATTTCGAAGTTTCTCATCGAATTCTCGGATTATGTCATACGGGTTGCATCTGCAGCCCCTGGAAAATCGTTGCTCAATGAAATATCACTCCTCGCGATATTTTGCATTTCTGGTCGAAAGCGAGCTTTGTTTTCTCTCTCCGATGCATTATTTGCGAGCACGTAACGAGGAAAAAACGGTCGGCAACATCGGCGGTGTACAATTAAAACGGTGCTGGAAGAAGTAAAACAAGCGCGTGCGCTCGTATGTATGCCTGATAATGAGTGTAAGCAAATTTTCAGGAGTTGTCGGGTGTCCCATTTTAGGTGACCTTGAAGCGTCGCACGTCGCCGGCTTCGGCCGCCGCGTCATTCCACACCGATAATGAATTCAAAACAAGTGACACGCTCTTATTCCAGAGAGAGGGGGAGAGAGCCACCGAGAGAGAAAGAGGTCGAAAAATTCTTGAATAATTTTTTTACTCGAAATTTTGCATGCAGTCTGAATTGCTGCATTCCCAGGATTGATTACGTCTTATGCTGTTATTTGTAATCCGCTTACATATCGGATCGATTTATTATCATTTCTTTATGTTTTAAATATTTAAATGTTTCCAAATCATCCATAAATTTTTCCTTCTGAAGTGTGACAAGACCTCGAGCGCTGCGTAAAGTCGGATAATTCAGGGACTTCGCAGCGACCGCGAGAGGTCAGGGGAAGTCGAGGAATTAGTGGGAAAAGTCAGGAAGTTGCGTCGGTACCTTTTAAACGACTTCTGAAAGCTTTTTCCCACAATAAAAATTGTTGGATGGAAATTCCGTGTGATATTGAGCCTATGTTAGATTTATACGTTGCAAAAAGTTCTGTGAGAGTGTTGTTTGAGGATCAACTCAAGTCAGGGAATTTGGAAGTGTTGGTGTCAAAGAAAAGCAAAAGAATTCAGGGAAAATGAAGCATAGAAAGCCGAGAAATTTGGAGAGTCAGAACTTAAGGAAATCTTGTATGAGACCAATTTTTTCTCGATATGCACCAAACTCATTTCGAGATTATTTGAGTTTCGCAATGATCAGTTTCAGAAAGTAGCATTCGCAGAACGTCCCATCGTTCTACCTCTAGTGTATATTATCAAATTTTGAGGTCAAAGTGCCAGAAAGCAAGAGTAACACTCACCATAGCAAACGAGTGAATTGCCTCAATTTTGCATTTATTTTTGGGACTCAGACTTCAATGAATCTAATTCAAAACTCGAAAGTAAATGAGTGTCTATTTCCCGCAAATCCTTTTCTTTTTTATAAAAAAAAAAAAATAAATAAAAAAAATAAAAAAAAAAAAATTAGTCCAAATTAGACTTGGAGGACGTCATAAATTGTAAGAAGCTGGGGTCGAAAAATTGTTTAGATTCACAATAGGAGCTCATTTTCTGTGATTGTATACTTCTCAAGTACTCATAGTTATCTCTCTCATTCAGCTTATAAGGTCATGGGCTAGGTCCCGCTTTCGGCCGAAAAACAAGCACTTGAAAATTGTCAGAGATTACTTATCCTTCAGCAATGACAAGCAATCTTTAAGAACGTCTAAGAATGTCTCCTCATTATCAAGTGCAAAAGTTCTCCTCGTAGCTCAACAATCAACGCTTTTGCCCTCTAATGGTGATCAGTGAGTGACGTGTCAAGTTGTATATTCGGCAAGTGACCCACTTTGACAATTTCTCCTAAAAATTGTCCAAATTAATTACCCTACGCATTCCTTCCTTATCATCGAGAGATTAGTGATACCGTTGGACCGCCAGTTCACGGTCTCGAAAATATTTTGCCAGTCACCACCAGAGGGCATCTGTATCAATACGGTCCGTTTATTTCTTGCTTGAAGGGGAGAGAATTCGTCGAAGGCTTATCACCCTAACAAGATATTTAGCACAGATTGAATCTCGACTTTTTTCTTGATAGCGACAAGAATTTTGTTTCTGCGTCGAAGTTGTGTCTTCAATACGTTTGAAGACGCCATTAGTAGAAGATAGGGTTAACTGATCGGTTAGTCCGACTAGTCGATTGTCGTTTTTGAACTGGCGAATGCAGCTGGACTGTGAAATAAATCGCGGAATAAAATTCGGAGTTGATATTTTCCCGGAGCCTATTTTTCCCGTTCATTAAACCCGAGTAGTATAATTGGACTATCTCTATCAAACGGAACTATGTGCATTATGACGTGAGCCCTGTTATGCACATATTCTTATGGGTCTCAGGGCTCATGTCTTAATGCACATAGCTCCGTTTGATAGAAATACGTCCAATTGCTGTGCGAAATCCTCTTTTTCGCGGTGTTAACTTTGCTCTTACCGAGCGAATTTTACCGAGGGAATTTCACTCCTTATCACACTATTCGGGTTTTTCGGGGAATATTTGACTTCGAAGTGAAATCCACACCGGATTTCAATTTAAGATCAAGTGCCTCAGCTCAGTTAAAGTTCTCGAAAAGTTGTTTTCGCCGCGTTATTTGACAACATCGCATTTCTTTTCAGTGGTGAACACTCGCATCCCGCGCTTTACATCCGTGTGAATACGTTCTTGCGAAAAGTTCTTGAAAAGTTGTTTTCGCCGCGTTATTTGACAACATCGCATTTCTTTTCAGTGGTGAACACTCGCATCCCGCGCTTTACATCCGTGTGAATCGATCGAGCCTTCTTCACCGTCGAACTATTCGCGCGTTTACCCAGTGCGAACGAACCGAAGTGCCAATCGCCTCCAAGTGTGAACTGTCCGTGGATCCGCCGATCGAGGTGCGAACCGTGTTCGGTTTGATTGCGAACCGTGTTCGGTTTGATTGCGAACCGTGTTCGGTTTGATTGCGAACCGAGTGTTCTCGGAACGAGCCGAAAGTGCGCCCCCGTTGATCGGTTGAGCAGATGATCTGAGGACTCCGTCGGCTGGAAATCAGTGCGATGAAGCCCCTGAACGAGAACGTGGACTCGCGGTTGAGCGTGCACAAGTTCATCCTGAGCGAGCAGCAGAACACGAACCTGGCCAAGAAGCCGCCGGCCCCGGAGCGGGCCAGGAACGGAGCCCCCCGCCCGGGGGACGCCGCCCCCCTGGCCGCCCTCCCCCCGGCCGGCAAGCCCAAGAAAAGCGGGAAATTCGACGTGGACAACCGCGAGAACATCCACAACAGCACCCTCAAGGGATGCCTCGGCGGCGACAAGAAGAAATTCGTGAAGAAAGGTAATTTCTAGCCCTAGGACTCAATTTGAGATAGTGTCTTGTCACCGTAAAAGTTCTTCAAAAGGTATTGTTGCCGCGTTATCTGACAGCATCGCATTTTCTTCATGATGTTTAGGGCCCGTTAAAACTTGAGAATGCCGGAATCTGTTAAGGAATGGAAATATTAATGGAAGTTGCAGAATTTGTGCAGAAATTGGTGTTAAAAAACGCACAATTTTTCTGTCTTCGCTTCAAAATCGAATTGTTTTGAAGCACTTCGACGAAATTTGAAATAGTTTATTTTTTTGGAACTTAAGAGACAAATATGGGGTTTCAGAAAGAACTCATAGGAAATCCTAAGTTTTCATCTGGAAATTTACCGTGAAAATCAGAAAGTATCAGGAATTTAACAAGGAATGAAGAAAAAAATCAAGATTTCTCGACACAGTCGTCAAAATTCGAAAAATCGTTGCTCTACCTTCGTTTAGGTTGAAGAATGTATTAGTAAAATTAGTTCTGATGGAGTGTCATCTGACGAAAACAGAATGCGACATTTTCAACTGCTTTTAACCGTCGACTAGCGCCACGAAGTAATAGAGCGGCGCTTCTGTATCCAAGAACTGAGAACATACTCATGCGTTTAATCGTCAACAGTATGTTAAGGACAGTTTTAGTGAAATTGAAACTGGTGTCAACAGAACAACCTCCTAAATTGTAGGGTTTCTGGCGATCTGGAAAATCTGGAAAGAGATGAGGGGAAAGGAGCATACTTTTCCGGAGAACAGGGGGCAAAACTCGTAAAAAATCTTCATGCAATCATTAGGAACCTTCAGAGAAGAGCGAAACAACTAGAGGTGGACCACAGTTGACAATGAACTACAATTTCAGGCCCATTCATAAAACCACTTATCTGCATAGGGTAACTTTCGGCACGTGTACTGTTTCTGAAATGAGCCTGAAATTTCAGTTCCCAGTTACGAAATGCATTCCTAATAATAATATTTGACCTCTAACCCCGTCTATTGATTGGTCCATTCTTACTCCGGAGGCCAAGTGGTCCATTGACAGTCGTCCGAGGCTCGAAATCCCCTACGGAACGTGGAATCCCGGATTAAAAAAATCGGCGGGACGGGTAGAACCGTTGTTTTTTCAAGCCGGCTAAAAATAGCCGTCCGCAGCCGGGAAAACGGGAGGAATTCGAGTTGTGGGCGCCTCTCGCACCGTCCGCCGCACAGTGGATCGAGTCAATAAGAGAAGTCGGACTTAATCTGGAAACATGAAAAGCTTTTTTTTTTCGTAAATATGCAACAAAAAAGTTTAAGAGTGGTTCCTTTGGTTTTATCGTGAGATTTCCTATATCTTTTGAAATTGAATTTGTGACGTAATAAACATTATAATTTACAATTTTTGTCAAAAATTTCTTGTCCGACTCCATCGAGAGACTTGTTCCATTGTGCGCCGTTCGGGAAGAGCCGAGTCGAGCCGGCAGCGGCCGCGAAGTGACCCAGTAAAATATGAATAGTGGCCGCAGCGCCAGTCGGCAACAGATGAACGCTTATCATAACATAACTGTAGGTCAAGGCGAGTTCTTATACCGGGCTTATTTTCTCGCTGAATTACCCCCTGCCCCCCGCCCTCCGTGTTTTCCCTCCTTGGCGTGTCCGTCCGTTCGGCATGTTGCGTGCGGATCGCCCGTGCGCTCCCTCGAAGAACGCTCTACTGTTGTGCTAAGGAAAAACGCCGTATCAACATTCGAGAGTTGCCAAATTTCCTCCGATAAAATGTTTATTTTTGTGGAGAGTAATGAATATTTTTCCTTGAAATTTTTAAGAACTTTGGGTGGTATTGTGAACAAACTTATATGAAATATTGGAATAAAAATATTGACAAATTTTCCTGAGAATTCGTGATTTACTGAAGGAAATTTGGCAACGCCTGAAGGTTCATACGGCGTTCTTCCCTAGCACGGAAGTGATGTGCTAAGAAAAAACGCCTTATCAACTTTCGAGAGTTCCCGAATTTCCTGCGATAATATGTTTATTTTTGAGGAGAGTTATGAATGTTTTCTTTTGGAATTTTCAGATGATCTAGACCTGTTCGCCGATAAAATTCTGTAAAAAAGATCAAAGATAAATGCTCACAGAATTCAGTGTGAGGGATTTGCGATTTGACTATTAATTCTTATGTAAAAGTTCGCGAGGAACACGATGGTGCCACTGGTTTTCTCTGAAATCAACTCCCAAGCTCAAAAAAAGCTCTCAAGTTGAGGCCAAAATGGAGGGGATATCTCACGCTATCCTGAGAGTCCACCTCTACATCAAGGCAAACTCTCCATGCAAAGATAGGGAGCAAATACACTGACAGGGCTGCCGCTGCCACTTAATTTGGAGATTCTAAAACTGAAAACACGGCAACCCTGCTAATGTATTCGCTCCCTATTTTTGCATGGAGAGTTTGTCTTGATGTAGAGGTGGACTCTCAGGATAGCGTGGGATATCCCCTCCATTTTGGCCTCAACTTGAGAGCTTTTTTGAGCTTAGGAGTTGATTTTAGAGAAAACCAGTGGCACCATCGTGTTTCTCGCGAACTTTTACATAAGAAACAACAGTCAAATCGCAAATTCCTCACACATGCAACATCTCCATCATGGAAACCTTGCCCGTGGACTGAAAAAGTTCAGTGTTCGACCTAATTTTCTTCCTCGGTGTCGTCTCAATCAACGTATGATCTAGTTCGTCGACCTCATGGCACTTACTTAGCGGAACCGATGCGAGTAAAGTTCGGGGCAAGCTGGCCGATCATGACGAAGCGCTAGGCACTCCGCTGCGAGGATGCATCGATGAGCGAGAATCGGCCGATCCGCATCCTCCGTAGCGGAATCCGTATTTTTCCCACGCTACCGCGCGGATGCTGGCGTCGCACAGTGGATCGAGTCAATAGGAGAAGTCTCACAAAATGTGGAAACTTTGAACGCTTTTAACTCCGTTCATACAAAACTTTGAGGTTCTAAAAGTGGTTCCACTGGTTTCCTCGTGAAATTCTCCTCTGGAAGCATCCCTTGAAATTTAAAATGTGACGAAGTAAACATCAACATTTGCAGTTTTAGTCAAAAATTTCATGTTCGACCTCTCTCATTAACCAGGGTGTCCACAAGTCCGGAATTTCCGGAAATAGTACTGATTTTTTAAGGGTGGTCCGGACGTACTGAAAAAGTGCGGAATTTCCGCGAGAAGGTGCGGAATTTTTTCAATTTTGTCGCAATTTGACTGAGATTTTCAAAATTTTGAAATTTTTCGAATTTTTTCAATTGGAGGTACCGAATTTCTCGCGAATGTACCGAAAAAGTACTGACTTTTGGCCAGCCCGTTCTAGTAGACACCCTGTTAACTCGAAGTGGACCGATCTAATAAAGACGTCGGGCATAAAAATTGCGGCCGAAATTTCAAATGTTTTTGTTTACTTCGTCATAAATTCAATTTCAAGGTATGTTTCTGCTAGGAACTTTCACGGAAAAAACAGCGGAACCCCTCTGAAACTTTTTCGTTTCATGTTTTTGAAAGTACAAGCTTTCAAAGTTTCCAGATTTCGTCCGATTTTTCCTATGGACCGGGTCCAGTGTGCGTCGTGGCGTCTCGGAGCTCGGAACAGACACCCGGCTCCGTAGCGGCGTGGTGCGGAGCTGTGTCGGGAATTGGCATGCGGGAGCGCGGCCCGGCAATTACGGTACCGCACGGAGGAAAACACGGCGGCATGCGGCACAGCGTAAGTCAAGTCGCCGACTTTTAGCTCGGCTTCGAGTTCCACCGCGCCGCACANAAGCTTTCAAAGTTTCCAGTTTTTGTTTGATTTTTCCTATCGATCCGGTCCAGTGTGCGTCGTGGCGTCTCGGAGCTCGGAACAGACACCCGGCTCCGTAGCGGCGTGGTGCGGAGCTGTGTCGGGAATTGGCATGCGGGAGCGCGGCCCGGCAATTACGGTACCGCACGGAGGAAAACACGGCGGCATGCGGCACAGCGTAAGTCAAGTCGCCGACTTACAGCTCGGCTTCGAGTTCCACCGCGCCGTGCCCTGCTTTCTCCGGATCCCGCCCGCCGAGCGCAAGTTCCATCTCTGCACGGCTCCGTGGCGAAAACTCGCAACTTGCCAACCCTGGATTACGTCCAAAATGTGACCTTCCGCGGGAAAGAGACCACGGGTTCAGTGCTGCCATTTTATTTGATCAATAGTTTCCGAAATAATTCCGATTTTCCAAAGTTCCGAGAAAAAATCCGGGGAACAATATTCCGAAATACGCCTAGATTTCGGAATCGGAATATCGTGAATTTGATCAAAAAGTCCCTAAATTTGATCAAATAAATGGTCAAACTGGCGAAAAACCGCAAATTTCGAGGAAATTCCGGGGACTCAGAAGATTCCGGGAAAAGTTCCGGTTATATGCAAAGTTCCGAATTTCGGAATTCATTCCGGGAAACGGCAGCACTGTACGGGTTCGAGAGCATGATGGCGTGGAAAGTCGGCAAATACTGGGATGTATCAGGGAACATAAAAGCTCTAGGATTGAATTTGTGGGATCTTTCACATGGAGGTGCAACACCTATCGATGAGGCCATACTGCACCACCGGCCGATCAGAAGCGCTAAGCTGGACTTTAGTGCAGTTGAGACTTGTTCTAAGTATATTTAAGTACGGTGGAAGGAGCAGCAATTCGACCCTGCCAAAAATTATGTAACGCTCTATGGGGAGGGAGAGTGCATGAGTCTGGGCGACGCTGCGTTNGGGGGGGGGGGGGGGGGGTCGTTGCCAGCGTTACCCTTCTTTATTTTGGTCAAAAATACATAAACTCTGAAGAGTTCGCGCAATCTTTCCTGGTCCTCGGGCTGCACAGCAGGGTGTCTACAGGTCCGGAAAAAGTACTGATTTTTTCAGGGCGGCCCGGAAGTACTGATTAAGAGCGGAATTCCGCAAAATCGTCCGGATTTTTTTCATTTTTTTGTCATTTTTGTTGCAATTTGAGCGGGAAA